GACGCTGCAAATGTAAAGAGATCGGATCCTCAATGCGGCATCGGCTTCGTTCTTCCACGAAGCGCAGGACGTCTTCTCCCGACGTACTTTTGTCCAAACGGGAGATGTAGAGTTGTATGGTTGGATCCACAGCACGCAGAGTTGTACTCGCGTTTATTTTCGCGGTCCCACGCTGGTTACAGACGGGTCGCGACCGACGTCTCTTCTCAACAAGAGTAAACCCGTCCTTGTCAATCTTGTCTTGGGTCACCACTGGAACTGATTTTATTTCCACATTTTTCCGCTTTCGACCACAAGAGGGTGCCGGTTGTAAAGATTTTCGGGCAACATCCGCAAACGTCTTTCCTTGTTTTGAGGTTGGCTTCGGCGGAGGAGTACCAATGGGTTCAGTCAAGGGTTGAGGTGGTGATGCAATGACGACCGAGGTAGCCCTGGTTTCTCGGTCATCAACCCGCTGACAGACGGTATCGCGTGACGGAGTCGCAATCATCGGTGAAATATGACTACTATTACGGTTACCGCGTGTCGTATTCACATTCTGCGACGGCGGTGAATTTGCAGATGTTGCAATTATGTTGCGCAACATATTGACTTCGTTCCTCAGCTCTGTTGCGGCTCGTTCTGATTCCTCAAATTTGGAACGGATGTCGGTAATATCGGCTCTCAACGTGGTGATGTCTTTCAACAATCTGGTGACGTCTACGTGATCGAACGTCACGGGAGGCAGCTTGTTGAGATCACGCGCGACGAAAGTTGGGATGTCATCAGGGTCGGTCTCATTGAACAGCCTGAAGATGTCTTGCAGGTCTTTCTTACCGCGCCCATCCCTATGACGTGTGATAAGACGGATTTGGGTCACGGCTGAATCTGCTAACACCTTCTTCGCTTGGATGATCTCGTCCTCGGTGAAGCTTGTCATCAGTATCTGCTCCAGAGACACCTGGTCCATGACGTCCAATTTTTGTTGAACAAAGGCCAGCAACTCGTGGATTACGACGGTTTCGGAACGTTTAGGTTGACACGCCATTTCGAGTTATTTTTGCGCAGTAGGTATGCTTACGCTACAAAAATACTGTAAGTTCGGCATTAGAGCCGTCACGTCATTATGAAGCGACTGCACTAACCGGTAGTAAAACTGCGACTGACAATGCATTTTATTCTATTCTTGTTAAGTTTTTTCAATGTAATTAACATCAATTAATTAATTAAAATATAACTAACTTCATCAAGTTTTTATGAATTTTAATTTTAATCTTATTTTATTATATTTATTCTACGTACATACTGAAATGCTGCATTATTAAAGCCGTTTGTTTTCTTATTTGCATGTGTATGAAGTGCAATAATACTTTATATTATACACCAAATGTTGGATCGCAGCGCCACTGAATTCTTTCCCTGTAAAAAACCTATGGATCACTATAAATTTGATAAAATTTGATTTGAAAAGAGGTGGTAATGGGATACGCTAAAAAATCTTATAGTCCATATGTATCGAAATAACCATTCCGTTTATGTCAGACGTGAAATAGCCAGACGTGACGGCGACAGCAAACAGCTTTAAAGGTGCGAAACGTCTAGTACTAAAATGGATCGACCATTTTCTCTACCAGACATGCTTTTATGAAGAATAAATATCATATCTACAATGCGAGACTCCAATGAGAGAACATAATAAAAAAAAGAGAAAGTTTAAAATAAAATATTATTGAATGAAATTGCTTTGCGGATTACATTCCGTTGACGTTTCGGGTGTTTTGCAGCATCCATGCTCACGGGAGTCTGAGGTCCACATCATAATTTTTTTTTGCGCTCGATATGGCGGGGTTTTGAAAAAAAGTTTTATATACGATCGATGATGATCGCGAGGCTTACTGATTGGGATACCTGGCTACTATGTCGCGGGTACTGGATTCGAATTCTAACCATAGTCACAATTTGTACAAAAAGACTGTTGGCTTTTGGTCTGGTTATCTTCAGATCTGATTACGTAAGCGTCACAATAACATAGGAGATACAGAAAATATTTTTTTTAAGACGAATTAATTGGTGGTTATAATATATGTAAGGATTCCCATCTGTGACACAATGATATGTAATGATTGATGTCGACCACATTTATGTTTGTCTCTAGGATGATTACGGCCGCGGTTATCAAGTTCTCATAATCATTGAACAGGCAACTATGAGGAATGCGAGGTTAATCTTATGGCTTCTAATAGGCGGTAGTAGAACAATCTCGTTTATACTAGACGCGAAATAACTAGACCAGTGACAGGTACCAGAGCCATGACTGGTACTGGCAAGCAAGACTGATAAGCGTATTCTCCATTCTACAGGAGGCTTACGTAACGTAGTAGTGGTTTTGACGGGGCGATGATGATGTTGGGAATGATATTAATTATATATTATATAAAAAAGTTAAGGTTACAGCCTATATACGTCCCACAGCTAGGCACAGGCCTCCTCTCATTTCTGAGAGGGTTTTAGGGCAAGGAAATGTCCGCCGCGCTGGCCCAATGCGCGTTGACGAACTCCAAAATTCCACCCTTAAGAGCGTTTAATGGAAGTTTTTAATGGAACTATTTAGATTGTGATATCCCTTAGTTCATAAAAAAAGGATTAAAAATATTTTTTAATAGAAGGTACAAACCGGCATCGAACGAATTAAAAGAATAAAATAATAACACAAAGAAAATAAAAAAAATTTGGGGCTATCTATACAATATGTCTTAACATCAACTTTTTTCTACCGACTTTAAAAAGGAGGAGGTACTCAATTCGACTGCACGTTGTTTTTATGTATGTTACCTCATAACTTTGTTTTACGTGAACTGATTTCGATGATTATTTTTTAATTTGAAAGCTTGTGCTTCTATGTGGTCCGATATAAATTTCATAAAGGTATCAAGGCATAGTTTTTGAGTTATTCTTAATAATATATATTGAAGTCGGTTGTACAAACTTTTTAACTTTTAATTATATTGAGATATAATTCTTGAATATTTAATTCTTTTTAGTTGTTTGAAATAGTTTTTAATTTTTATTTTGCATTTAAGTTTTAAGTTTATGACAGCCAGAATAATAACAAACAGGTAATGACAAATTATTTTTGGATGGCAACACATAAAGACTAATTTATTTAGATTTAAGTGCATGTGTTCAGGGAGCCATAGTATTTAATTCTTATTTCTTATTTTATGTATATTATATTCTTATATTTTATATAAAATACTATATAACTCGCTAATTTGCTATGTATGAGTTTACGCTTGTCTATATAAAAAAGGAATAACCTTAACCTTGATATTAATGTAGAGTATAGATAGTAAACGTTAAACGCCGTCGTTTCCTTTTTTTTTGTATAAGTTCTTGAATGCTATTCGTGTGTGAACTTAAGGATTCTTAAAACATAAAACAAAGCTTTATTATTTCTTAAATTCTCTTTTATTGTTTTGCACCTATGGTATGCCACCGACTTTAAAAATAAATTTATACAGTATAATTCTTGATAAATGGATTCTGTGCCTTATAGATGCTCGTATCCATCATCGATTAAGAATGCAGAGACGTTGTGGTTTCTGTGTAACAAACTATTTCGATACTCATCATACGAAACATAGCAGTATTAAGTTGCTATTTTACGCTAGTATTCTGAATGACACCGAGAATTAGCAGCATAAGAGTATCCACTTCCCCACATCTTGTTATAACCACATGATGATGGTGATGATCCTATGAGAGCGTGTTCCTTCCCAGGTCAGCTCGACATAGTTGGAATGTGTATCAGATAAAAATAACAATTAATTTTCCATTAACATATTATTACAATTTATGAGCAAAAAATATTTAACCAAGTGAATATTATAAAGTTTTGTAATATTTGTTTTCATTATACCGCCTTGAAGTCTAACGGGTCGTGTTAGTCAGCTACGAGTGATGTCGACGAAACTGATTTAAATTAAACCATCAATAATTATGGAGGCGAGAACTTTACTTCGATTATTGATTACTTGATGCTTTTAATTATAATACACTAACGAATTATGATAATAAGGATAAATTGGAACGACAAGTTAATTATAGCACAAAGAGAATTTCGTTGCGATTGATGAAATAAGGAATATAAGCCAGATTTCATGATGTCACATATAATTAATACGTTGTGCCTACATCAAATTACATATCTATAATAAGAAATATTTTTTTAATATAGAACAAGGGTGACAAACCAGCATACAGTCCACCTGACGTTAAGTGGATGCTGTGGCCTATAGACATCTAAATGTATCCTCGATTAACAATCCAAATTCAAATGCGTTATCACCTCTGTGTACAAAGATGGAATGCCTCGTTTCCAGTAAAAAGAGTCTCCCAGTTCTACAGTCACCGTATGAAATACAGCAGCATTATTCTTCTGTCTCGCACTACCATTCGGCGTGTATGGCAATCAGGCGCTCTTATCTTTTATATTTTAGTATGTCCTAAGTGCCTACCACCCAGATAATATAACAGCTATTTGAAATTTAATAATACTGCTATGTTTCGTTGACCAGTGCGTGTTGGAAATGGTAAAATATGAATATGAGACGTAGTTTTAATTGTTGGTCTGTATGAGAAAGATCAAGTTCGCTCAGCGATCTACGGAAAGTACTGTGCTTGGAGTTTATCTTCGTGATAGTCTTAGAAATAAGGATATCCACATTAAAACCGGATTAACTGAAGTGGCAATGAACCAGCTTTATAGCGCGAATAACCGATAATTAATGGGGAAGAAAGATTTTCAAGTACAGTGCAGCCTTGTAGCGAAAATCGAAGTGTAGGGCGGACCCCCACTAGATGGAATGGCAACTTGGTTAGAGATGCAAGAACTGTATGGATTCAGGTAACTCAGGACATTGCTTTGTGGAATTCCTTGAAGGTGGGTTGTGATCAGTAATGGACTTGTGAAGGGCTGTAATGATAATGTTTAGTTAATTAAATTTAGAGAAAAAAAAACAATGGTACGTAATATATATAAGCAATGGCAGATCACGATACGCACGTCATAGAAAAATAAATTATGATCTTTATCATCAATGTTCATTAAAGTAACTGATTCTTTCCAATTAAAACGTTTATATATCGCATATTTGTTGCCACTTGAACTTGGGGTCTATGCGTGCATCTTGACAAATTTCCTGATGCGTTGCCTCGAGCGAGTGTGTTACCAAATGCCTTTCTAAAATCGTAGCGATAGGAATATATGATATGAAAACAGTAAGTTGGACAACCGCAAAATAAAGCTGGTAAAAAATACTGAGCACGTTTTTTAGATGACTTTAGTGTTGGTATAAAAAGCAAAAGTTGGTTCACAAAAGCACAGTACGGGCTGACCCTTCTTTGTAGAACCATCCGGACAGAACTGGTCAACACGGATACAATGAATTTGGTAATCGTTTAGATCTCTAAAGCGGAAGTAGTGAATAACGACGTGATGAACAGTGGTCTATGGAAAAAGTTGTGTAATAAGATTAAAAGCTCTGGCGGTGTTAGGACGAAATAGGAATGTTTAGAAAAGGAAGTTTCTCTCCATCTATAGAAATATAATTTTTCGTGTATTAAAAATTTTGCATGATGGTTAATGTGTCCATTTCCATTTTACCAGTTGCGATAACTTAAAACATTAACATATTTGGTATAAAACTGTCATATTTCAAAGTGTAAGCGCGAATTCTATTACGGACATTCAATTTATCTGTAGGAAGCTAACGTTACGAAAAAATTTATCTTAACTTTGAGTAAGATTACAAAAGGATATGTTGTTAATATGGATGTCCTTCTAACCCATTTCAATAATAGAGGTTTTAATAGGACGCGACGGTAGCCAAATTGTTAATGCTATGGAGTGGATGTTTTTGAATTGTCGTTTTAGTGAAAACTTTTGATAGAAATCTTTTTTTTTTATTTCAATAGAGCCGTGGTAGCTTAGTGGTTAATATCGCTGTATATTTTAACATAGTATGCGACAAACCGGGGTTTTATTTCCACCGGCACAAACTGGCAATAATGAAATTATTATTTGCAGTTGAGGATGATGAATTTCCACGTGTTTTCTGTAAAAGAAAATATCGTGAGAAAGCCTACTTTGACAGGAAATAAAAATAAAATATTTTTGAAGAAATTTGAAGTTTGTCAGATGCATTGGGGCAGTGCGTTGGGCACTGCCCTAATGCTTTTTAGCAGACCTACCTTGCCTTATTGCATTCTTAAAATTATAGATCTGTGCTCAGCAGTAGGACGTTTATAAGCTGTTACTTTACTTTTTATATACGTAATTCTCCTGTTGAGATGCAATTGATTATAAAGTAGATATATAAATTTTCTTATTTTCACCAGGTGTACATAGCCGCTTTGATAGCGGTATGCAGTGCAGCGAAACTAGATCGTACTTACCTACCGCCAGCTTCAGCTAAAACAGCAGGGGGCAGTTCAAGTGATATACAAGCACCACTTATAAGAGATTCTATCAGTGAAGGGCAAAGTGGATTACCAAAGGGTGCTTTTGACAACGATTTTGACGGAGTCGTTGTCGAAGCAGCAGCCCCAGGAACTAGAGGATCAAGCCCGGCTGAAACTGGATTAGGAGCACCTAGAATTTCTTACGGTTCCAGTCACTCAAAAGTTGGCGAAGCAGCATTCAAAACTATCAATCAGCAAGGTGTTCAAACTCAAATTGCGTCCCAATTTTCAGGAAATTCCTATCAAGTACCTAACTCCAATTTTAATACAGCATCGCAACGACCACAGGCTGTAGTTGATCGGGCTTCAAATATAGTGCGTTTTCAAAATGAAGTAAGACCTAAATCTTACAACTATGCCTTTGAAACAGACAATGGCATAAAAGCGGAAGAAAACGGAGTCACTAATAATGGAGTGGAGGTACAAGGTGGATATTCATATACCGGTGACGATGGAAAATTGTATAAAGTTACATATACAGCTGGCGAAGGAGGTTACCAACCAATTGGAGATCATCTGCCAACTTCACCTCCTATTCCTGATGAGATATTGAAGTCTTTAGAACAGAATGCAAAAGAAGCTGCTGCTGGATTTGTTGATGATGGTAAGTACTTTTGTTACTTTGAAATATTAAAAATAAAGAATATAAAGTTAAGTATTGATTGATAATGAATATATAAATGATAGAAAAAAGGTTATACTTAATATTTCGAGTAACACAACATTCGTATTAAACTTTTTGTTGATATATCTTTCAAAAAGCGCGTAAATAAAACAGGATAATCCAAAAAATATTTTTATAAAATATTTTTTCTATCCGATCTGTGTATGTTACAAAACTTTTTCCTCTAATTTTAAAAATAGTTTTTTCATGACTTAGTCGTAATTTGAAGAAATTCCAAAATTTTAGACAAAATAATACACTACAGAACGATTTCCTGTTTAATATAAAAATAATATGCGTAGTGTTTTAAGCAACCTTTCACTTGTGAAGTTAACTCAACCTTTAAAAATGTGTTATAATACGAGTATGAGGACCGTGTGCGTTACATATACAGCGTAACCTACGCGTTAATTTAAAGAGGTGTAGGTGATTTCCATAGAGTAGAATGACTACTAAAATGGTAGTTACTATTATCTTCAATACATTATCACAGTTTTTCTTTGATCGTCATCATAATATGTATCATCTATTTCATTCTATTACAGCCTATAAAAATCCACTGTTGAACATAGGCGTATTTCCAATCAAATCCCTCTTGGATTTTCCATAGTTGCCGCGCTTGGTAGGTAAGAGTTGCAAACCGCAGTTTTTATAAATGAGTTATTGTTAGGAAGTGCTCTGCTATCCATCTGCCGCCCATCTCCAGTTTCAGTTTACTCCTATCACCTCTTATGACACCTTCGGGACGATATGGGTAGTGGATATTCATATATCGCCATTTAAGTGGGTATTTTGCATCTAGGCAACCCTTATAAAGTAAACTGCTTTACACTGTTCTCCCAAAGAATGCCATAAAGCACGTATCTCTATAAACGCATTTATCGACTCCTACGTATCTCAACAGGTCGTTATTCAATAACGTTTATGGATAATTCTCATGTTATATATATATATATATATATAAAAGAAAGCAAATATAAAGCCGGCGGGTTGGTGAACGTTTTATCGAAAGTTTTGCACTAGGAAGGCTACTGCAATTGTAAGAAATTTATGTTTGGCATTTTCGAATAAAAATTCTGCCATTTTGTGATCTAAAGAACTTTTCCTTTTGAGTTTTGAGATTCTTTTTAATAATACATGAGAAAATAAGCATGTTCAAAAACCTATTTTGATTACTTTGCATTCTAGGTACCACCAAATCCAGATGATTGCACTATTTATCAATAACAGAATTCAATTCTAATTTTCTTTCACAATAATTAAAGTTACAATAACGTAATTGCAAACAACTTAATTTACCTTTCTGCCATGTATTAGTGGTATAAGAATATCCACTACCCCGTATCGTCCCGTGGGCATCTTAAGAGGGCATCAGTGTTCTTTTAGTAACGTTTGCCAATCATACAGGCCACTATGGTATTCTATGGGGTTATGAGGTTATGAGGTATGAGGGTTCAGCAATGAACTTTAATGGGCTTTAAAAAGGTGATGATAATATAATTCAATTTATGATGATGATATGACTAAAATATGTTCATTTGTTAAGTTTTATAACAGTTTTTATATTGAATTTGATTTAACGTTTTTATTCCAGTCATTCACCGCCAACGTTACATGTAATCTTAAAATGTCTTTTGTATTGTTTGAGAAATGCTTTGTCGTCTGCTATATAGCTTGGTTGGAGACATGATTAATAAGACACAACTTTCGATTTTATTTGCAGGGTCGTATGATGCTGCAAAGTATAATGCTGAAAGCGAATACACTGAAAGTGACAACGATTATGATAAATATAAGAATATAGATTCTGGTTTACAAAGAAAACCTGAGTTGGATGCCGATGTGAGTGGAACATTAATTAGTCAAAATAATCAGGAATTGGGAAGTGCAAATGTCAAGGAACAATTTACTTCATATTTCAATCATACACCAGAGGATACAAATAGAAATAATGTTTTTGGATCATTCACAAATAATAACTACAAAAATGATAAAACTTTAGTGCAGCAACTTAGTGAAACATCAATGTTAGAACCAATTTCAACTCAAAATACTTTGAATCGAGTTAATTCTAATAAGAATACCCATGTAGAGATGTCTAATGATGATGAATTTTCAAGGCCTATATATTTTGGTTCGATACATTCAAACCAAGTACTAAACAAGGGATTTGGAATCAAAAACTCATATTTACCTCCATCAAATATCCAACAACAATTTTTTGGTTATAAATCAGAAGATAACGTGCAAAATTCTACCACATTACTGAACTTTAAAAGTTCTCCTTACAAACCTCAACATATTAATGGAAATATGTATCAACAACAAGTTGGCTTGCAATTCACACAGTCTTTTCTTAAAAATAATTTTAACCAAAATAATCCAATTTCAAACCCTCAGAATCACGATCAGTTTAAAAATAACAATAACATTGAATTAAATAAAAATTCTGATTCTCATAAACAATCTCAATCAAATTTGCAATCAACTTTTCAACCTCAAACAGAATTAACCACACCTTTTGAAGATTCCAAAGTGAATGTCGCTTTTCACAAACAAAAACAAAACATGCCAATTCCAAGTCAGTTATCCTTCTTGTCTCTTTCGACTTCTAATATTCAACCTTTTAATGTAGCCCATTCTATATTCGCTCATGAAAGATCCAGTGATAATTCAAATAACAATGTTGATATCCAATCTAATCCAGCCGCACCACATCTGGTCTCGAATGGCTTCCAAGAGATTTCTAACAAGGAGGTACCTAAATCTAATGACGCATCGCAATATCAGAGTCTAGACCATTCATATTTTTATAATCAACCTTCGAAGCCTTTTGAGGCCTCTTATCAAAATAATGAAGAAAATATATCAAATTTCAATTCTGTTCAAAATAGTAGTCAAGTGACGCAGAGTGGTAAAAATAATTTAAAAAATCTAAATATGCAACTTCAAACCTCTACTAAATATCCTAGGCTTCTTCCTATTGCACCTACTGTGGCAAGTTTTTCTAAAATACCATATAATGAAAATCTAAATACTCCTAATGATATAGTTTTATCCGAAAACGGAGGGTACGGGGCTTCCACAAATTATCCAAAAGCCCCTACAATAGGAAATATTACTCCATATCCAACAAAATCTACAGACCAAGACAGTAGTAGGTTTTTATCTCATTCTACTGGAATAACACAAGCCGCTATATCACCTTTTCCCTCTCTTTCTCCCGTGACAAACATTGGACCTGTTTCAAACATTAAGCAACCAGAAAACTTTAGTTTCAATCGAGATATCTCTCAAAGCTCATTTTTTATCCCTTCTACAGCTTTGCCGCAAGAAATAGCGTTAGGACAGTCACATTACCTACAATCAAATAACAAATTACATCAAACGGATTCTCTGCATAAGCTAGGTTTTGTCCAACAAACATCTGGGCAAATAATGCCTGAATTTAATAATATTGGTAATACACAAAGTCAACAATATGATGGTGAAGTATACGAATACAACAAACCTGATAATTCACTTTCTAGTCCTTCACAATCAGAGAAAGAGAATCAACCATTTATTGGAAACAGCTTTGCAGAGTTTGGTCAAAAACTCCAACCGTCGTTTGATCAAATAGGAAGTCAAAGAAAAAATCAAAATGAATACGATAATATCTCTCAAATAAAATCCCACGAATCGCAGCTTAACGGAAACAATATACAAAAACAACCAATTATACCTCTAGGTGATTCCCAAATAACGAACTTTGATCCATCAGCCCAAACAAAATTCGCAACAGACGTTTTTACAAAAAGTCAAGAGAATAAAAATTACAAAGTTCCATTTGAATTTTCCAATAGAATAAAGCCTTGTTGCCAAGGATATAAAATTTCATCATCCGATCGAAGCATGCCAACCAATTTTCAAATGTCATCGCAAAATTCTGTCCAAAGTCAGCAGGATTCTAATTTCGGAGAATTTGAAAAGCTCGAACCTCTAAGTACTGACTATAAGCCCGGTAGCAAAAAAGGCACTTTAAGTACCCAAAATACAGGTTTACAGAACTATCAAGGATTTCAAAGTGCACAAATAACTAGTCAATCATCTCAAGCAGGTAGCAGAGAAGACTTCAGTGGTTCACGAAGACCACCAGGTTTCGATAAAGCATCTGGCTACTATTATTAAGAAAAGTAGTGCCATTGTGATTAAGTTACATAAAAAAGTGGCTGCAAATTTATATTGTGAGTTGAATATACATGGGATTTAACGATGAACTGATAAGATATAAATAAATTAATCTATTTATAATACTTCATTTTTATTAAATTATTGCCAAATTTTTATTGTTTTATTTTCTAATGAATCAAGAGATGTTTTGTAATTGAAATTTGTTTCAATATTTATTACCGTAGGCTGTAGCCTATCAAAAGTCAACTGAAGAACATAGGCCTCCAAAGATTGCTTCTTAAATTACTATAATATTGCTAATCAGCAATCCGATTATTGAAATTACAGGTAATTGTTTATTCGAATAATGAAATAGTAATTGCGTATGGGTTACCTTAATAATTAGTTAGACGTAAGTAATAAAAAAATATTTTATGAATATATCGCGTTAAATATTTAATATGACATTTTTGACTCATCTTGAACTTATTATTTTAGCTCGTAGTTCATTCATAAATTTATTACAGCCAGTCAAAAGTCCATTACTGAATATGGATCCCCCATAGATTGCTTATACGGGGTATTGGTCATAGATGTGACGCTTGGCAGGCGGACTGGCAATCGATTTTTTTTATTATTTTGAGTTTTTATCAGGAAGATGCTGATGCCGGGTTAGTTTGAAGCTGTCACCTCTTACAATGGCCATGAGATGATATGGGGTCGTGGATTCTGTTACCATACCACTAGGCCACGACTAGTTAAAAATTGGCATTTTGCAATCGGGAACTATTGTGAAAAATATGAGTATAGATGTACATTTATGAAAGAAGTAAAAGGACTAAAAGTAAACGACGAAGTTAAAGAAGTAAATGGCGGCTTTGTGGCGCAGTGGCTTAGCAATGAGTTGCTACGCTGGGACCCGCGAGTTCAAATCCCACACGGAACAAGTATCTGTATGGACTACTAATAATGGTTCCAGGTCTGTATGTTTATCCTCGTGCAATTTGTGTTTGTAAACTGCCTCCACAATACAAGAAAAACTGCTAGTGTGGTGGTAATGTGTTAAATAAATAAATAAACAAATTAATTTAAAAAAAAACCACTATCCCATTCGTCGCTTTTTACGGCACGTTAATCAAGTAACACAATTATCACATACTTTTTTAATAAATATTTTATTTTTAAATAATATATTTATGGAGTAATTTATTTTTATTAAAAAAATTAACAAATGATCTAAAATTATCTTTTCCAAAATTTTACTGAGAGTTCATCATCATCATCATCATCATTACAGCCCTTCACAAGTCCACTGCTGAACATAGGCCTCCCCCAAAGAATGCCACAAAGCACGGTCCTGAGCCACCTGCATCCATCGACTTCCTGCATATCTTACCAGGTCGTCACTCCATCTAGTGGGGGGACGCCCTACACTTCGCCTGCCGTTACGAGGCTGCCACTCGAGAACCTTTCTTCCCCATCGGTTGTCGGTTCTTCGAGCTATATGGCCGGCCCATTGCCACTTCAGCTTACTAATCCGTTGGGCTATGTCGGTCACTCTAGTTCTACTGCGGATATCCTCATTTCTGAGTTTATCACGCAGAGAAACTCCGAGCATAGCCCTCTCCATAGCTCGCTGAGCGACCTTGAGCTTCCTCATCCGGCCAGCAGTGAAGGACCACGTCTCAGTTCCGTATGTCATCACTGGCAACACGCACTGGGTGTACAGTCTCGTTTTCAAGTTTTGAGGTATACCTGACGAGAAGATGTGCCGTAATTTCCCGAACGCTGCCCAACCGAGTTGAATCCGTCGATTGACCTCTTGGTCGAAGTTGGACTTACCTAGTCGGACTATTTGTCCCAGGTAAACATACTCGTCAACAACTTCGAGCTTAGTGTTCCCAACAACTACCGGCATAGGTGTGACATGGACATTAAACATGATCTTTGTTTTGTCCATGTTCATCTTAAGACCTATCCGTTGGGAAACACTATTGAGGTCATTGAGCATAGTGCTTAGGTCCTCCAGCGATTCTGCCATAAGGACTATATCGTCGGCAAATCGAAGGTGAGTGATGTACTCGCCATTGATGTTAATACTGTATCCTATGTAATGTATCCAGTCCAGTGGCTTGAAAACGTATTCCAATGCAGCGGTGACGAGTTTCGGGGATATGACGTCACCCTGTCTTACACCTCTCTGCAATTGGATAGGTTTCGTACTCTGGTTCTGTACTCGGATAGCCATCGTAGCCCTACTGTACAAGCACTTCAATACTTCGATATACCGACAGTCAACTTGGCATCGCTGAAGGGACTGCAGCACCGCCCAAATTTCGACGGAATCAAAGGCTTTCTCATAGTCCACATAAGCCATACATAGTGGCAAATTGTACTCCTCGGACTTCTGTACAATTTGCCGAAGGGTATGTATGTGGTCTATGGTGCTAAAGCCTTTTCGGAAACCGGCTTGTTCGGGAGGCTGGATGCCGTGTAGCGGCGGTTAAGAATATCCACTACCCCATATCTTCCCGTGGGTGTCGTAAAAGGTGACAAAGGGAAACATGCAGGAGATGGGCAGCAGCATCTTCCTGGTAACGGCAAAAATACAATAAAAAACTGCGGTTGCCAACCCGCTCGCCAAGCGTGGCAACTATGGAAATATACCCCCCATGATGAAAGTTACGAAGAGACGGCCCCCAGTCCCCAGCGGCCCCGCTATTCCTGGCTACGGTGGCGACCATGGTAACGGCGGGACAGGGGGTGCTAATAATCTCCGGTGGAGGTTCGGTTGCCACCTACGACGACTCGACCTGGCAACATACAACGCACGCACCCTGAGGACTGACGAGAAGATTGTGGAGCTGGAAGAAGAGATAGACAAGTTACGCTGGCATATTATAGGATTATCCGAAGTCCGAAGAGAGGGGGAGGACACGGTAATCCTCGAATCCGGCAACTTGCTCTATTACCGGGAGGGCGACCATCTGTCCCAAGGAGGTGTCGGATTTATCGTCCACAAGTTTCTCGTTAACAACGTTGTAAAGATTGAGAGTGTGTCGACGAGGGTTGCGTACCTTATACTCAGAATCACTAAACGGTATTCGCTGAAGGTCATTCAGGTTTACGCACCAACCTTGGCACACCCCGATCAGGAGGTGGAGGAAATGTATGAGGATATCTCTAGAGCCATGCTTTCCTCCAAAACCCAATATACGGTGTTAATGGGAGACTTCAATGCAAAACTAGGCACAAGAGAGAACGGTGAGCTGAAAGTGGGGAAATTTGGAATAGGGCAACGGAACCCAAGGGGCCAGCAGCTGGCCGACTTCATGGAGAAAGAGGGACGGTTCGACAAAAAATGAGATTGACTTCATTATGACGACCAGATGACAACTGTTCAGTGATGTCTCAGTGATCGCGAGGGTGAAAACCGGCAGCGATCACCGAATGGTTAGAGGCAAACTGAACCTAAACGTTAAGTTGGAGAGGTCTCGTCAAATGAAGTCAACGCTCCGTCCCCCTCGTGCTCTAATCCAAAGTCCCGAAACCTTTCAGCTCGAGTTACAAAACCGTTTTGAGTGCCTAGAAGACTGCAATGAAGTGGACGATTTGAATGACAAGCTCGTGGAAACTGTCCATGCGGTCGGAGCTAAGTTCTGCAAGACCCGCCGCAGAAGAACATAAAAACTCTCCGACCACACTCTTAATCTCATGGCTGTTAGACGGGAGATGAAGCTACATTCTTCAACAGATTTGACAGCATACAGGCAACTGAACAGACAGATCTCCAAATGCATGCGGCGGGACTTACGCAACTTCAATACAGCTCGTATTGAAGAAGCCATCGAGCGGAACCAAGGCTCCAAAGTCTTTGACAGAGATCTGTCTGCCAAAGAAAGCTAACTGTCAAAGCTGAAGACCAAATGTGGCAGCATCGTTTCCAGGGCACCTGAGATTTTGAGTGAGATTGAGAGGTTCTATGGGCAGCTGTACACGTCATCGTTGGAGCCGCACGCAAGTGTGAGTAACGATCCAAGAGCGAGTCTTATCCGATATTATTCCGATGATATCCCGGACGTCAGTCTGAGCGAGATTAGAATGGCTCTCCAGCACCTTAAAAACGGCAAGACCCCAGGCGAGGATGGAATTACAGCGGAGCTTCTGAAAGCGGGTGGAAAACCGGTACTTGAAGTCCTTCAGAAGCTCTTTAATTCCGTCCTCCATGGTGGCATTACACCGGAGGCGTGGAGCAGAAGTGCGGTGGTCTTATTCTTCAAGAAAGGCGACAACGCTCTCTTGAAGAACTACAGACCGATTTCCCTTCTGAGCCGCGTCTACGTGCTGTTTTCGAGAGTCATTACGAATCGTCTCGCGCGCAGACTTGACGACTTCCAGCCTCCCGAACTGAGAGTTGGTAGTACAGAAATAGGTCTAAAATTAACGGGGTCCAATGTACAACCAGATTTAAATAAAGGTATTATTTCACTGTGTTTCATTAAATCAAGAAACATATCAGATTCGATACCAGTATTAAAAATAATAACAAGATGAGGTGCAATTAAATCTATTATGGACGCAATAACTGTAACGGGAATCCCCCATAAATCTGCGGTTTTTTACATCAAGGGTTTTGAAATATTTTACAATATCTTGTGGTAATATTTTTTCAAATCTAAATTCTTTTAAACAGGTATTTACATTCTGTAAGTATTCAAAAGTATTCAATGATTTTGTTGTCAAAATATACCTAATATCAGTAAAATATTTCTCAAAAACTGCTGCGACTTCTTGATTTGATCTAGTCAATTCATCAATTGATCAATTCAATTTTCAATTGATAATTTGTGTTAGGAGGTTTGTCTTTACCGGTTTCGCTATTAATTATACTAAAAGTAATTTTATTTTATTTTTAGCGGTCTTAATTTTATTGCTAAAATGTAAAGATTTGGCTATAGAGCACAGTCTTTTAAACATTTTAGAATCATTTTTGACATATTATACTCTAAAAGTATTGG